TCACAATCTGCAACGGCTGCAGTTCCGGAGGATCCAGTACCCTCTTACGGCCTCTGTGAGCACTGCACATTTGTGATGCACAGGCAAAACACTCATACATATAAAATATTTCTTTTAATATTTGGAAATAATTTTTATGAAATAAGTATCAGGCTGGACTCTAAAACTCATGAAATACTTTTGAGTTGTTAGAGAATATTGGGTTTTTTTTCTTTTTTAAATCTTTTATTTTTTTTTTATTAATTACACTTTATTCATTTTGTATCCCCCCATGAGCCCCTCCCTCCTCCCCTGCCGATCCCACCCTCCCTCCCCTTTCTGCATGCATGCCACTCCCCAAGTCCACTGATAGGGGAGGTCCTCCTCTCCTTCTTTCTGATCTTAGTCTATCAGTTCTCATCAAAAGTGGCTGCATTGTCCTCTACTGTGGCCTGGTAAGGCTGCTCCCCCCTCAGGGGGAAGTGATCAACGAGCAGGCCAATCAGATTATGTCAGAGGCAGTCCCTCTTCCCATTACTATGGAACCCACTTGGACACTGAACTGCCATGGGCTACACTTGTGCAGGGGTTCCAGGTCATCTCCACGAATAGTCCTTGGTTGGAGTATGAGTCTCTGGGAAGTTCCCTGTGTTCAAATTATCTTGTTCTGTTGCTCTCCTTGTGGAGTTCCCGTTCCCTCCAGCTCTTACTATTTCCCACTTCTTACATAAAATTCCATTCACTCTGCCCATCAGTTGGCCATCAGGCTCAGCATCTGCTTTGACAGTCTATACTGCAGAAGCTTTCAGAGGCCCTCTGTGGCAGGTTTCAAGGTTGTTTCCTGTTTTCTTCTGGCTTTCAGAGGCCCTCTGTAGCAGGTTCCGAGGTTGTTTCCTATTTTCGTTTTCTTCTGATGTACATCCTCTTTGCCTTTCAGGATGGGGATTGAACATTTTAGTTAGGGTCCTCTCTTTTGCTTAGTTTGTTTAGATGTACAGCTTTTAGTGGGTTTATTCTATATTGTATGTTTATATGAGTGAGTATATACCGTGAGTGTCTTTTTGCTTCTGGGTCAACTCACTCAGGATGATCCTTTCCAGGTCCCACCATTTACCTGCAAATTTCATGATTTCCTTATTTTTCATTGCTGAGTAATACTCTATTGTATAGATGTACCACAGTTTCTGCATCCATTCTTCAGTTGAGGGGCATCTGGGTTGTTTCCAGCTTCTGGCTATTACAAATAAAGCTGCTACAAACATGGTTGAACAAATGTCCTTGTTGTGTACTTGCGCCTCTTTTGGGTATATGCCTAGGAGTGGTATGGCTGGATCTTGAGGAAGCGCTATTCCTAGTTGTCTGAGTTATCCAATATATATAAAGAACTAAACAAGCTGAAAAGCAACAAACCAAGTAATCCACTTAAAAAATGGGGAACAGAGCTAAAAAGAGAATTCTCTGCAGAGGAATATCGAATGGCAGAGAAGCACTTACAGAAATGCTCAACCTCATTAGCCATTAGGGAAATGCAAATCAAAACAACCCTGAGATTTCACCTTACACCCATCAGAATGGCCAAGATGAAAATCTCAAGGGACAACACATGCTGGAGAGGTTGTGGAGAAAGGGGAACCCTTCTCCACTGCTGGTGGGAATGTAAACTGGTACAACCACTCTGGAAATCAATCTGGCGCTTTCTCAGACAACTGAGAATATTGGTTTTGAGAAGTATTTCATATTCACAGAACAGAATGCACTAAGTTAAAAATTAACTCCAAACTCTTCCAAAAATTGAAGAAAACATCTAGCAAAATCCTTGCTGAACATTACAGAAGTTAGAAGCTGATGCTACAGCAAACATAAAAATGCAAAAGAACCAAGAAAACTCTGAGAAAGAAACACAAACCAGGGTGCCTGCCACACCTGGACTGGGGAGGGTCTGAGGGAAACCTGGGCTAACTTACAAGAATTTTTTTTTTTTTTAAGGCAGGGGAAAACAACACCAAGGTGGACAATTTACACACCCAGACTTCAAAGTCAATTGAAAGGAAGAAGGAAAAGTGTGCAACTGGATTGGAACAGGTTTAGTAAAGCAATGGGGCAGAACTGAAAGTCCCAGGTAAATTTGTACTAGACAATTTAAAAGAGGGACAACAGAAAAAGTCAACTTCAGATTATAACCTCATACCATACACAAAATCAATACAAAGTGACTTAAATGGAAAGAATCTCATGAGGTCTTTTGTTTTGTTTTGTTTTGTTTTGTTTTTTGTTTTGTTTTGAGACAGCATCTCACTAGGTAGCCCTGACTGGCCTGAAACTTGGTATGTAGGTCAGACTGGCCATGAACCCGAGTGCATGGTTTATACCATGACAGCTGGCAGAAAATCCTTAACTGAAAAAACTCTCTAAGCATTGAAAGAGTAACTCTGCTTTGGCCAGACAGATTATCCAGGTTAAAAAAGTAAGACCCTACCTCCTAGCAGAGGAGCATAAAGGCCATGGGATGGAAATTACCACTGTGGCCATCTGTAGAAGAAGAGATCTGACCCCTGTGCCATAATTCCAGTTTAAGTCATCTCTGTGAATATACAATTCCCACAGTGCTCTCTCTCGAACTACAAACTCTAGATGGAAGGGACTGTCATCACTGGTTTAAGAGTGTCTACCACAGTGAGCACTGTTCTTAGACAAGACTGAAGATGTAATTCAGTGGGATGATTTGCTGAGTGAAAACCAGTCTTAAAATATACTTCAATCTAAATGTAATAGTTGGTTTCTTGATAGCAGATATGATCATAATCCATTCTGTATATGTCACTCTCCCAGCAGAGACCAGGACTTCTAAGGACAGCCTCAATGTGGACAGTTGCCTGGGAAATATGCCAGCTTTTCTATAGTAAGTGTCTACAAAGCCAAAGTGTTTAGTTTATGGAGAGGATGCAGGAAAATGGCTCCTTTCAGCACTAGCACACAAATAAAGTTTTCCTTTTTTTCCCATCTATTTATTTATTTATTTATTTGTTTGTTTGTTTGTTTATTATTTATTTATTCATATAATTTGTGATTTATTCATTTTGTATCCCAGCTGTAGCTCTCTCCCCACCCCTTTTCAAACCTACTCTCCCTCCCTCTTCTCCTCCCATGCACCTCCCCCAGTCCACTGATAGGGCAGGACCTCCTCCCCTTCCATCTGACCCTAGCCAATCAGGTCACATCAAGGCTGGCTGCATTGTCTTCCTCTGTGGCCTGGTAAGGCTGCTGCAACCCCTCAGGGGTTGGTGATCAAAGAGCCAGCCAATGAGTTCATGTCAGAGAAATCCACCATTCCCCTTACTAGGGAAACCACTTGGACATTGAGCTGCCATGGGTTATATCTGTGCAGGGGTTCTAGGTTATCTCCATACATGGTCCTTGGTTGGAGTATCAGTTTCAGAAAAAGATCCCTGTGCCCAGATTTTTTTGTTATGTTGCTCTCCTTGCGGAGCTCCTGTCCCCTCCAGGTCTTTCTATCTCCCCCTTCTTTCATAAGATTCCCTGCACTCTGCCCAAAGTTTGGCTATGAGCCTTAGCATCTGCTTTAATACCCTCCAGGGTAGAATCTTTCAAAGGCCCTCTGTGGTAGGCTCCTATCCTGTTCCCTGTTTTCTCCCTCTCCCGATGTCTGTTCCATTTGCTTTTTGGAATGAAGATTGAAAATCTTACTCAGGGTCCTCCTTCTTGCTTAGCTTCTTTAGGTGTACAGATTTTAGTATGTTTATCCTATATTATATGTCTAATATCCACTTATAAGTGAGTATATACCATGTGTGTCTTTTTGTTAAACAGCAACAAATCAACTAATCCAATTAAAAAAAATGGGGTACAGAGCTAAACAGAGAATTATCAATAGAGGAATATCAAATGGCAGAGAAACACTTAAAGAAATGCTCAACATCTCTAGTCATTACGGAAATGCAACTCTAAATGAACTTGAGATTTCACCTTACAACCAACAGAATGGCTAAGATCAAAAACTCAAGTGACAACACATGCTGGAGAGGAGGTGGAGAAAGGGGGAACCCTCCTCCAATGTAAACTTGTATAAGCACTCTGGAAATCAATCTGGTGCTTTCTCAGAAAATTAGGAATAGTGCTACCTCAAGATCCAGCTACACCACTCCTAGGCATATATCCAAAATATGCTTAAGTACACAACAAGGACATTTGCTCTACCATGTTCCTAGAAGCTTTATTTGTAAAAGCCAGAATCTGTAAACAACCTACATATCCCTCAATGAAGTAATGGATAAAGAAATTGTGGTACATCTACACAATGGAATACTATTCAGCAATTAAAAACGAGGAAATCATGACATTTGCAGGCAAATGGTGGGAACTAGAAAAGATCATCCTGAATGAGACATACAAATAATTAAATTAACTTTCAGAATGAAGGTAGGGACACATTTCTTTTAAATCATTACTTCTATGGCAATACCTGCCTTCTGAAAGGTGACCCCCCTCTCCCCCAAGTAGAGCATATCCTCACACCCTTTACACCTTGAGCATCTCAGGTGTGTCTGCATGCTGTACTCAACCATCCACTGGAGTTTCTATTTTCCCCTAACCTACACATTACTCAAAGGGACAGAGACTGCTTTCATTTAGGTCTTCATGTCCCACACCAAGCATAGAACAAGCATATGGAGGACATCAATGACTAAGAGACAGCATGAAGTTTATGTGGCATTTTCAGAATCACATAAAAACTTATCTTGTAGTCCCCAAATTGGAATTATTGATTCTGCTCTTCCGATTTTTTAGTCTTATAAACTTGGTAGTAGTATTTAATCTGTCTAAAATTCCATTGCTTTAAAAGGAAACAATTCTCACACAGAATACTGTGACGTCTACGATACAGGACAAATAGGAAGCTCTTAACAGACAGAGCTACAAAACAACTAGGGACCAGATCATCAAGGATTTGGGTAAAGACTCAACATGAACTTATAAGTCAAGGATCATGAAAAAGTACTAACAGGGATGAGGAACTTCTTGATTTCTTCTAAGGCATGCCCCATCCGGGCATACGCTTCAGCTGGGGGAGCGAACACTTCAATGAGCACATGCAGGTCATCATTGAGGTGGAAGTACTTTGCTTCTCCACTTTTCCTCAGCTCTTCCTCCTGAAGAAGAAAATCATGTTTAAGATGTGTTATTTTCAGACAGGAAAAAATTACCTAAAACTTATTTGACATATGTTTGTCATGAAAGATACAGCAATTAGCACCCCAGGATGGTTAAAAACTACAAATTTGATCCTATTTTTCTCAGAAACCCTAGACAAGCATCGTATCCTGCAGTCTCCCCTACTCTGATACTGCCCCTAAGGAATCACCTGTCCCTGACTACCTGCTGATTCTTGTCAGCTCCTTCCTTCCCTGTTACCTGCACCAGCTATGCACAAACTTCTGTTCTTCTTCTTGGCTAGGTTCCCAGCTCACTTCTATAGGAGCTTGCTGTTTTAGGCATGCTGACACCAAGCATTCACCACAATCCGAAATGTTTAAGCTCACTGCATTCTTTCGATTTTCCCTCATTAGCAGGAGACTGACAGCGCAGACCCTGTATGCCCATCTAGTCTGATGATGTGTGAAGGGCTATATGCTCTTCATTTTCTATCTCAAACCTCAGCTGAATTGTGAAGGATATCTTGTGACTAGTCACTATGCAACCCAGAGTGAGTTCCAACAATATGTCCCATGACTTCAAAACAAGGGAAATGTACTGTTTAGGAAAGGATAAGCACTCTGGGATTTTGTGCTCATATCTCAAATCCCATCTCGACTTAACTGTGGAGAGGTGCCTTTACCTTATCAGGAAGAATTTTAACATGGGACAGAACTAGTGTAGTGTTATCTGATGGGGCTGTTGACATCAGACTCCTCAAAACAGTGTCCAACATGCTATCTACAGCAGGACACACCCGTACCATAGGTGATGTGGGTAAGATGCACATCACTATGCCTGACATCAACTGAAGGCCCAACCAACGTCCAGAGCATCACTGGAGCTACAGGAAACCCAGCCACTGGTAGGCATCAATATGCATCATCAACGTAGCAAATGAATGAACTTGAGTTTGGGTTAATTTTGCTATAGCAGCGAACACCATTAGAATTTAAAGTGATTTTTGTTTTTCAAATGTGAGTTTTAACACTAAGAGCTATCTCTTTAGAAACAAACAAAATTAGGTGAGATATATGCAGGCTAAAGTCAAACAAGTAAAAGGATCATCTGCAATCAATATCCAAGCAGTACAGCAGGAAGAGCTGGCTATGTGCCAGCAAATAGAATAATGTTAGTACATACCTAAAGGGAAATATGTTACTTAAGCTATCACCTGTGGCTGCTTTTGGTGACGCTTTTAAAGGTTTAACTGATAGATCACATAAATGGAGGCAGCAAGTATGATGATGATGAGGAGGATAATGATGATGATGATGATTAGGAGGAGGAGGAGAATTCTGGGGAGGAGTAAAGAGGGAGCTTTGAAAAAGAATATAGCAGAGAGCTTGCTATGACTGGGATCTTGAGTTTCCCTCACAAGTTCATGTTCCCAAAAAGGTGACTGAAGAGGTGGGCTTGAACGTAGGGACAAGAGCTTCAGATGATTGGAGGTGAGCCCTGGAAGAAATATTAGTTACCAGTCCCATCCTCTGTTTCCTGCTTCCTGGCCATGAGGGAGAGCTTTTACTGTTCTATACTCTAGGCATGATGTGTTGTCTCTCTACAGATCCACAAACAATGGTGTCAACACATCCTAGGGTAGTAACCCAAAACTATGGTCCAAAACAAGCCTTTATTCTTTCATAAGCTCATTATTTCATGTATTTGCTATTTGAAATTGCTACAAACTAACACAGAAGAGCCAGAAGTGCTCTCAGAGGTTTTACTGAGTGTGGCAAAGAAGAGTATAAGATCCAACACAGAGAAACACAGTTCAGTCTCTTGTATAAGATTCGAGTTGATGTCTGGGTAACAGTGACAACCTGAGAACTGTATTTGCAACATCTGGGAAGAGATTCAAATAATTCCAAATACCCAAATGTAGAAACAGTCTTTCATACCCAGATGTCTATCTAGTGAACATCTACAATGCCTGAACCACTGAGGCAGCTCCTCAAAACGAGACAGTAGTTGTCATGGTTACTTTTCCCTTTTGCGACCTCCTGGCCCATGCTCATAGCCTGCTTGCTCCCTACTCTAGAGTAGTAGCCTACAGGCACACAATAATAGTCAAACACCTAGTCTTCCCAGCCAGGATCTAGAACATTTTTCTAGAGAGATGTATAATGAGAAGAACTCTCTGATGAGATGAAGAATTGGCAGACCTGACTCTGATGCAATGCTAATCTCAGGTCCATAAGGCACAGTAGGGCCCATGAAATCAAGGGGCATGGACTTCTGGTTCTATTCCATTGACAGTGATTGGGTGGAGTGGAAAATATACAATATATTCTCTTCCTCATTACTCTGCGGCTTGACAGAATGATCAGCCAAGTGCAGGATCACCTTACATATTTGGTGACAGACCCACATGGTTAGAGACAAATGGGAGAATTATGAGCAGGTGGCAAGCTTTCTGGGATTGAGGTCTAAGCTTGTAAATAGGGTGCCCTTACGGCAAAGGCAGAATGAGCCAAAATGCCTCAGTGACAGTCATTCTGAGGACTACTGTAGCAGAGTCTGCATGCTTCCTTCTTCAGACAACTCAGTGCTGCTCAGGCTATACATAACGTTACCAGAGTGACATGGATAGGGGTGATTCATTATTTCTTCTTGAGGATAACTGGTTGCTGTCCTTGTTGTGTGCCAAAAATACCAACAGCACCAAACAACCACAGCCGTATTAGAGTAATTTAGAAGCATCACTAACGGTTGATAGTAAGCTGTGTGAGGCTGGTACATGTCCTGTTTTCCACTTCCACTAGTGCTACTATGAGAGACACATGGTGTCATTAAGAGTTAACCTAATGATATAGCTGATTCCTATGGCTAATTCAGAGAATGACCCAAGTTCCTAACATGTACAACAAAGAAAATGTTATAATCTATCACATCTTCTAAGTATAACATGGATTGGGGGCAGAGTTCCTGTACTAGGAAAACTACGCTCAGATGAACTTTGCTTGAGAGGCAACACTTCATTTAAGTAACTTTACATCTAAAACTCATTATTTAATGTTTCAGAGTGGGTGATTTTGAATGTGGACTTGATTCTCAGTAACGTACATGTCTAACATTAAGAGGTGTGTCAACAGAGAACAAGGTAAGAGGTGCTGTTAGTGAAAATTCCTCAGCAGTTGAAACAACTAATCAATATAGTAACTCAATAATTTTTAACTTCTCAAAATAGGGAATACAATACAAATACTTTTTAGACTGTGAGGCAATTATTAGAACATTTGAAATCTTTTAAATATGATAAAATGAGTGTATCAAATAAAGGTCAGGAAAAGAAGTCAATGTGCATATACTGTAAGTCAAGTCCTAACATGTATCACTTAATGGCTGGAAGGCATTGTAAGAAATACATTATTGAACCACCGTCTCCTGTGAATACTGTGAAGCATCTCATAGACTCCAATAGCCCCAGCACTGGGCAGCAGAATCTTAGACCACACAATCTTAGACACATGGTCCTTTGTAGACCACACGTCCTTATGTAGTATGTGGAAGTGGGTGAAAGGTCTCTACAGTAAAAAAGTCTCAAAGGAACTAATTTAAAACATAATGGTGGGGAGTCTACGGGTAACTTTTCTTTCCCTCACTGCAAAAAGCGATAAGGTACACTCAGAATAAACAACAAAAGCACTACTGTTTGATTTTGTGCATGAATCTTAAATACTTAAAAGTGGTAAGATACTATGTTTGGGATCTGAACAGAGAAATCCAGTCTTCAACAGCATCAAAATATAACCCTTTATAAAACATTTTTCTACAATTCTATCTGAGCTTCTACTTAGCTCTTAGGCACTAGGCATAACACAACAGGCAATAAACACAGTAGTCATAATAGTACATGGCCAACAAGGTCGCCACTGTCTATGGCCAATATTACCTTTGCCTTGTCTCTCATGGAACCTTTTCCAAGGATGGACATTTTTGTCAACGTTTCTTCTTGTAAGCGCTTCAGGGAATTGCCACGCGGACCCAAAAGCTTCCCCACAAAGTTGAACTAGGAAAAACAAACCGGCCAGATTTGTAACATTCAAGTCTTAAAGTAGTTTAACACCAGCCTTGACTATTGGGAAACAATGCCAAACAGCACTCATCAATAAAAAGTACTTAATGTTCCTGCTACAGAGATCAGACTGTGATATTTTCCAGACCACAAAAGTGGTGCCAAAGGTGTAAAATTTAAATAGGAATCCTTTGTACTAGCCATTTCGGTGACAGCGGTAATTGGGAATTTCCTAGCATCCACAAGCAAGGGAGGATTAGCATACACGTGAGAAAAATGGTACACAAGCCCTGGAATGGGACACATGAGTTTTCCTGCTTTGTCAGCACTTAGGTTTCTCACTCAATGAATGGACTGACCCAGGTGAATTCTCGGTCAGTAATTGAAAATGAATCACAATGAAATAACTCTTCCAAAATAACGCGAAGTAAGAATGCAGGAAATTCTTGAAATAAGACATCTATGGTTTCTAATTTAATAAGCAGGGAGGAAGTGAGTTACTGGGCACATATCCAGAGGTTAGACTGCCATGGTTTACACTGGGAAGCATCCTGTCTTCTATCTTCTTGGTTCACTCTCCTGTACAATAGACATGAGGACAGGAGCCACAATTCTAAGGTCATCTTGAGGACTACATGGTTCAGTGAGCATGAATAATTCTAACAATACTTAGCATTTAACACACATGCAAGAAACACCTTGAACAAAAAAATTATAATCAGAAATATTGAATACATTTCTAAAGCTTTCCCTTAATTGAGATAAATTACAAATATTTCTGTATATAAACCAGAAACTCAACCGGCTCATCACTTATTTCTCTTTTGAAAGATTTCTGAATCCACACTCAGGACACCTTCTGCTCTATGCATGGTCTATGCCACAGCTGTTGCTGTTTTAAGGGGGTACAGTCGTAAGCAGTTGAACTAACTATGGCAATTCATGTGACTTTCTTGAAATCAATTAACACTTCAAACATCAAAATGGCATTTTTTTTCATACTCACTTTTTATTCTATTGGTCTTCAATCAAAATTCAAACTGTTTTTACTTTTACATGGAATCAGTCTGGTAGGGTCATCAAGCATCCTGAATCACCCATATCTGCCTATTCCCCCTCCCCCATCTTCCTAGAAGTTTCTATTCTTTGGACAGTAGATCCTCTGAGGTAGATTTCTAGGAGTCTCATGTTTATCCTGACTTGACTTTTTGGAGGGTACAACTTCATTCCTTATATAACATTGATTCTTTCATTTCCTCTGTGAAATATTTAAACAATAACAAGGTTTTCTCTTTTGATTATTTTTAAATTTTCATTCATCTCTCACCCACCCCTCTCAAATTCATGAACTCTACTATTGTTACATCTGTCCATCTGTCTGTCTGCCTGCCTGCCCATCTGCCCATCCATCCATCCATCCATCCATCCATCCATCCATCCATCCATCCAACCATCCATTCATCCATCTATTCACCTACCCACCCACACAGACACACAGTCGCCTAAGTTCATTTAATTCTGCTAGTATGTACATATACTTAGCACTGAACACTTAGGATTGAATTACTACCTACCATAGGAAAAGAGTAAACCTTCCTATAGTTCTTCATCTGGGGGTGGAACCTTGTGAGATTTCCCCCATCAAGGATAGCACACTAACTGGTGCTGTTATTAATCAGGACTTGTAAACATTTTGCTAATATTTCATGTATGCAGCTTCCCTGCCATGACTGGAAACTACTGTTTTACAGCTAGTGTCCTGGTTTTCTTACAATCTTATCATCCCCTCTTCCTTCATGTTCCCAAAGCATTATCAGCAGAGGCTGCACTGTGGATGTGTCAGTTGAGACTGGGCTCTCCACAGTCATTTATTCTCGTCATTTTGACCAGTTGTGGATCTCTATTGCAGTATCCATGTACTGCAAAAAAGATTCCTTGGTGAGGGGTGAGAATCACTTATGTGTGGGTATATGGACAAGTATTTAGAATGCAGTAAGAAATTATACTGGTTTGTTTAGGAAATTGACAGTAGTAGATTAGCTTCTAGGGTCCATGAATCCCCAGCCATGGGTGCAGTTGAGTAGGTTTACAGTAGCAACACAGATACTTCCTACTGACAGACCTAACTAGATAGCTATTGATTACCCTGAAAATATGTCACTATTGAATCACTGGAGGTGCCTTTTGAGCCTGTCATTGCCTTGTTTCTCTGGCTTCACAGCTGGGAGGAGTATCAGTTGTGTTTCTCCTTTTGCAGCTCATGGAGCTCCTTCTGATACCATGAGAGCCAGACCTCAGGGAGAAAACTTCTAGGTCAGTTCTAACTCTATTCCTCCAAGTCCTTGTCCAAAGTGTGTGTTGTCTCCAGCAATAGGGTCTAATATACAAGTTAAAGAGGGTAATCAAGTGCAATGGCAAGAATCTATATTAGTTTTAGAGTTCCTTGATCTCCCTTGATCAATAAATAGAAGGGAGATTTCCCTTGCCTGTCACTGGGATTTTGTTAGGTTGTATTTGACTCCTGAAAGAACACTATCACCTTGTATAGTGGAACTCCATTTAAATGATACATATGTACATTCATGCATGTAGATTATGTGCATGTGTATGTATGCATATATATATATATATATATATATATATATATATATGTCTGTATTTTAAAGTAAGCCTATAAAATGTTTCCTATGGATTCCCCCTTCATTACTGATCTCTCCTTCCTACGTCTTCCTCTGTATTATCCTTCCTTCTCTGACTCATAAATAAGTCCCCCATCATAGCTTTCTCTTTATCCCCATTCATAGCACACAGGTCCTACTCTTCTCCATCTTTACGTCCCCTCATCATGGTTTCTTTCTATTTTCCTGGCTTCTTAGTTACTCCGGGTCACATCTCAAAAACTGAAGATTTGGATGAAGATCCACAAATAAGAGTGAACATGTAGCATTTGGCTTTCTGAGTCTGAATTACCATACTCAGTGTAATGTGTTCTAAGTTCTACTCATTCGCATGCCAAGTGTCATGGTTATATTTCCCTTGACTGCTGAATAGAATTGCATTGTCTATGTTCCACATCTTCATCATTCATCCATCCCTGCTACAACGGTCCCTTTCTGGATGACAGCAATGACTTTAACAAACACAGTCTCTCCTTAGTGAATTCAGGGTTCAACCTTTAGTATTGCAACTATGTATGCAAGACAGATAGGAAAAAAAAAAAACAATACATTTCAGCATTTATTTGTCCATTATGTCAACATGTACTGAATAATTTCATTATACATCTGCATTAACAAATGAAACTGCTAGCATTTCTTTCTAGAAGCAATGATTTTTCTCCAGATGTCAATTACACAAGCACACACACACAAACACACACACACAAACACACACACACACACACACACAGAGAGAGAGAGAGAGAGAGAGAGAGAGAGAGAGAGAGAGAGAGAGAGATAACAGGCAAAGTTCCACAACCACTAGGATAGCAAATGGACATCAGTAAGTGTTTCCCAACAGAGAGTGTACATGAGTTCCAATTGTCATGACCTTCACTAACGAAGGCCAACTGCCCTCCTACACATGTGATATAAAATTTTTCCCTGAGGACAATTATATCCAAACCTCAACAACACAAAGGGCTTTAGTTAAGAAGTTTTCCTTAATTGGGTACTTACCAAAAAGTGACTAGTCCAATGCATGGATGTTATCAACTCTAACTCAACACTTTCCTTTACCATAACAGTTTCAAAGCCATTCTTTTTCAGAGCTCCAAGTCCAGAAAGGCCAACCACCTCCCAGTACCTCAGTGGCTCAAGTCTACAGACTGACTTCCCTGGAAGATACTGGCCAGGCCTTCAGTGTGCACAGCCCTACCTACAATGCCTGTGCAGAGAGCATATAAGTATTTAAGGAACTAACTATATTCTAGCAAACTCATACTGGAGTATGCTTAAGTCTGTCCATTTTTCTTTAGCCCCACATTAACTTAACCATCCATCACCTACCTCCTCTCATAGATAACCACTAGAAAGGCCTTACTCTCCATCTCCTCCTACTTACTTCCATCAACAGAGAGGGGTCTTTTTTGAAAAAGAAAGCTGGCGGGTCTGGAGAGATGGCTCAGAGTTTAAGAACACTTGTAGTTCTTCCAAAGGTCCTGAGTTCAATTCCTAGTAACCACATCGTGGCTCATAACCATCTATAGTAAGATCTGGTGTGCAGGCAGAATGTTGTATAAATAATAAATAAATCTTTAAAAAATAGTTTAAAAAAAAGAATGAGAAAGCTGGCAACAGCAGGACTCTGATTAGAACACACTGGTATTACTATTCTTAGAACCTATGTGCTAATATTTAGCATTGGCTGTGAAGGGCCTTTCTCATAGAATCAGCAAATCTATAGCCACCATGCCCCAGCATAGCCCATGCAGCTTGGCCGTAGACAGCTGGAGAGAATTATTTCTGCCCTGAAAATGGAGGAACAGCTGTACTTGCTACAAATCAATACTCTATCCCAGAAAAACTTTAACCCCATAGCATCCCTGGCACATACAGTAAGCCACAACACTCAGACATCTGAAACAGCATAAGAGTATAATTTAGTCACTGAATTACAAAGATGGACATTTTCTTGAAGGATCACTCTGTCCCCAGAGCCCATAGGGAGAAAGAGAATACTTAATCCTCAATTCCTGGTAAGCTGGGGACAAGTGTGAAGCTGTCACTGTGGAGATACACCCAGAACTATCTAAGCAATCATTAACCTCCAGGAAGAAGGGAATGCTGAGTGAAAGAAAAAACAGCCCAGAGCCATGCTGCCACTACTGAGGTCTGCTCAACAACAAGTGACACATGCACTCAGATGATGATGTCTACTTAACGGACTGAGGCACAGAGCAACCACTGAGGCCACTGTGAACTCTTGATACTGGAGAACATATTTTACTCAACTTGTGAAATCTCCATGCCCAAACAAACCCTAAAACGAACAAA